AGGATCCCAGCCTGTGCACAGTCTCTAGCTGAACTTTTAACTATCAATCGCTCACTTACTGTCCTTTATCTTTCTCACACTAAAATTGACACTAAAGGCGTATTGCAATTAGTAAAGTCTCTAAAGAGTAATGGTACACTTGGAAAACTTGTATTGGATGCGAAGCACAAACAAGCATGCTCTGATCAATATATTTCTAAAATGAATAGACTAGACTTTTCATATGAAGATGCTGATGGAACTCATTTTTAATTCTTTAATATTATTTTGTAATTTTTAATAAGAACTTTTCTAGAGTCCTTTAATTTAATTTATTGAAAGGGAAAGTGATAGACATGTTTTACATAGATTACACATGATTGGTATAATTGATAATGTATATGTTTAGTAGCTCTTGAAAATGAGTCACATAAACTTTTGCAAGCAACAATTTGTCTTCTGATGCTTTTAAGTCACTTATAGCACCTATTTTGAAAGGAAAAGCTGTGAAATGTCTCGGTGTATGCTCAGCCCATTTGAAACAAGTTTGTAGCTGCCTGTTCTGTCAGTGAACAGTATGGCCAAGGTGAGGTCTTGTAAGACAAATAATGCCTTAAAACAGCCTTTACTAGATCTAGATGATTTAATAAGAGAATATCATTCACTGATTTAAGTGACAGGTTGTAATTTTAAAGAATTGTAATTCAATAATCCTCATTTATTTTTTGAAGCCATTTTATTCATGTTATTATATTTGTGTAATTTTTAGAACAGGGATAAAAACCATCAGCATTTAAATTTTGAACTATAGATAATAAAAAACAACCTACTATGATTTTTCCTTGAGTGTTAGTTTTTTATGCCTGCAGTTGGAAGTACAGTCACAGTATCTTCTATAATCCATTCACTTGTTCTTGGATTACAAATCAATAATAACTGACTTGATCTGTATATCTAAAACAAACCAAATATTTAGGAATAATCCTTATTTTACCAGGTACCTTTCACTCCCTTTTTAATAATCAGTTCTTTATCAAGTGGTGGTTCACCATAATGTCCTTGAAAATGAAACGTCAGCTAAGCCTTCATTTCATCAGATGAGGCACCAGCTGATGCTCTTCATGGAAACCTGGTAGAGAAAGGCTCTTGCAACTGTTGAGGTCTTTCACCCACAGACACTGTAACCTTTAAAGTCATTTGTACCATCTGTATTAACAGATCATTATGTAAAGTGTCTCAATATACACTCAAGCCCATTAAAGGAGTTTACTCACCATTTTTCCGTCGTTATGACAGACAACTTAATGTTGATGCATTTATTGCTTACTCATGATATAATTAATGATGAGGGGTCAAAAGGCTGGCACATTTGTTGAAAGCTAACTCGACTCTTACATTTCTGTCAATTGATTTCAATTATTGACTTCTAAAAGCTGTCAATCACTGGCTGATCTTTTATGTGCAAACAAAACATTACATGTTCTTTCTCTCTCCCATACTACTAATATGTTTGAAGCACGCGCACTTGTAAAGTCACTTGAGTCACTTGTATTGTGTGACTGCTCCATTGATGACAACAGTGTCATTTCACTAGTGCATTTACTGCAGTATCTAGTTTGGCATTTTCAGAAAGTTCTGATATCACTTCAGCAAGTGTCCCAGCCCTAGCTGAGCTTATACAGACCAATCATAAATTGAAAAGCCTTGACATCAAAGATACAAAGATTGGTCTAGATGGATTACAAATTCTCTTTGAGTCTCTAAAAAAAGAATGTGGAATTTGAGATGATTATCAGTGCAGACCTTGAAGAAAAGTGTAAATCTATTCCTTCTTATTATCTAGTTCAAAAAAATAAGTTTCAGATCAGTAAAATAATTCTGACTGATATTTGCTAATTACAAGAGTTAATTATTTTTATAGTTAAAGTACTTAACTTGCTGCATGTTGTGATGTGTAATGCTACATGTGAACTGAGATTTAAATTATTATTTGTGTTTTTTCCTCTCTTATAATTGTCTTTGAATGTTAATTTGTTTCTTTATGCATGAAAATGATTGGAACTACAGCAGCAGCATCTCATCAGTTGTGTGGATTACTATTCACAAACAATTAAGTTTAAAACATTTATCATGCATGTGTGAAATTGTATGTACATGTACATATTACAATTTTTTATAGCAACAAACAACAATCAGCACTAACAAAATTGTTATGATTCCTTCAATTTAATTTCCTTGAGTGTTAGTTTCTTTACACCTGCAGTTGGAACTACTGCAGCAGCAACATCATCTTCTATACTCCATTCACTTGTTCCTGAATTATGCTGCATATCTATAACAAAACCAAATTTTTAGGAATGTTAATCACCATAAATTTCACCTTTCACTCCCTTTTTAATAATCAGTTCTTTATCAAGTGGTGGTTCACCGTAATGTCCTTGAAAATGAAATGTCAACTGAACCTTCATTTCATCAGATGAGGCACCAGCTGTTGCTCTCCATGGAAACCTGATAAAGAAAGGCTCCTGCAACTGTTGAGGTCTTTCACCCACAGACACTGTAACCTTTAAAATTAAATGATATATATATTAAAACTGAAAAATTTCCTTCACTTACTCCAGTTAGAAATGAGAAATAGAATCCATACATGTCCGTCCTTCTATTGATAATGAAACCTGTTCCTCAGGAGGTCCTTTAGCACTTTGTGTCACTTTAATGAAGACTCTTCTCTTAAGTCTAAACTCAGGTATGGGCAGTCCAAGCTTCTCCATTACCATTGTGGACACTTCTTCACATTTAGCATGAATGCATAGTGCAGCCATACTGTGCAATGGTGTCTTTTGCAGGTTAACTATAACTATAGCTTCTCTCCTCTCTCAGCGACACACTATAATGATGGTATCATGTGACTATCATGTGAGACGCTATACTCACTGACCTCTGGTATGTCGGCCGCTGGAGTGACAGTGAGACTGGATCCCATTGCTAAGCAAAGGTCTGCTACTTCACCTTCTTCTGTACCTCTTGTCAACTCACCTAGTAAAGAAAATTAAAAAGGAAGATTTTTGGTTATAAATTTTTTTGTCTAATTTCATCTTTCTCTTACTGTCTGGAAGGTCTTCTCCAAAGTTTATTATCGTGTCACGTAAGATCCCCTGACAGCTTGGATTGTCACATTTTCTACCTAAATTATCAATGCAAACAATGCATGATTATTACATTACTTTGCCATAGCTACTTTAGCATGGAACACTTTTGGTTAAAAATTTGAATGTTGTGAACAACAATGAGTACAAGACAAATTATTTGGCAAATAAATTAGAACTTATTTTTATTACATTCTCAATTTCTTATACATGTACTTATGTTGCATATATAATTTGAGCTTATTTTGATCAAAATTAATTTTTTGTGAAATTTTACAGCTGCTAAAAATTAAGCCAAAACCCTGTACTACAGTACATGGTCTTGGGTCAAGTTTCACTGAAATTGAAAAAGAAAGTATTCTCTATTTTAT